CGACATTCATTTACTGCCACGCAGGACACGCCCACTCAATACCAACATAACCGCAGGTAAACATTTGGTCAAGTACTGCTCATACAGGAGGTAAATATTAAGTCAGTACTGAAAACGTGTCTCACTCTGATATGCCAGCTTTAATTATACATTGTCTGTCAAAGTCAGAATTGTTCAAGGTAGGAGATAAGTAAGCTGCTTTTAACTTATTGTGATACTTGTAGAAAAGCCTCAGATTAGTTTTCAGTTATATAGTATCTAAGTGTGTAGGTATACACTGTGGAGAGTTTTTCTGATACACGTTTACAGCAATTTAGCAGTAAATTCCAAAATTAATATATTTATTAAAAAAAAACCAAACAAACAAGTCATCCACTCAAAGGCTTTTGGTAACAAAAGGTATAATGAAATGTTTCTCTTTTATGTGGTGTGTGTAAAGTATAATGCATGATTTGCATGCTAGATGCTTTATTTTATATCTGACCATTTTGAGTCATAAGTCTATATGCATATACATGTATTAGCTTGCGACATTTTACCACATTTAGCATGTACATTCTACTAGGAGAATAGTTTCTTTTCTCCTATCTGTGTATACTACATGTATTAAAATATTCATATACCATTCACTTGGTTAATTCAGCCTTTGGAGAAGCCAAATTTTTTAACAGATAATAGGAATAGGAGTAGAATATGTGAATAATTAACAGATACCAAGCTTTTAGAGGGGGATGCATATAAGATAAGAAATAATATCTGAAGTGACAAAATAGTGAAGTCATAAATCTAAGGACTTTACAATGCTTGATCTTAAGATCTCTGGATTGTCTGCCCAGATTTTCTCAACCAGAGAGCTACAGATCTGCAGTTGTATTTGGAGAAATCTTTTCTTTTATAGATCTCTAGAGCTGAGCAGCAAAGGAAATCTAGTGATCCCACCAACATCTGTATCAGGTCAAGTGAGATCCCCGCCCCCTCTTCCAAGGACAGGGCCAGAGAGGCCCCTCAATGTCACAGACCAGGCAGGGGGAGGCAGCAGGGAGAAGGTACAGGTTTTAAAAGGATCGCCCTAAATTAATGCTTCTGACCCAAGTAGTGCATTTGGACAAACAAACTATATTTCAAATTACGTGATGATCATTGATCAGGGTTCGACACTAACGGTAGACCGGCGGCCCGAGTCCACCAAAAAATTGGAAGGTCCACCAAATGTTCAGGACTAGGTGGACCGTCGGTCCACTTAAAATTTAAACACCATATTTAAAGACAGTGAAATTCCAGAATTTCTTTTTCTTTAAATCGAAATCCCTAACTCAAATTATTAATTCCTCCATACCTTTATTATACAAGACTTAAATATACATGTAAATAATGTTTAGGTAATGAGGTGGGGGGGGGGGCAAGTACATGTAAAATTGATAACTCCAATATTAACAATAATATTGAGACGCAAGAGCATTCAACATGGACCTTGAATAAACATGAAAAATCCGTGCCAAATTAGCCAGTCTCTCCCCTATTTACCTAATGCACATAAAGGTGTGAAAATTTCACTGGGTAACAGGAAATCGCTTCACGCCTGAACGCACACTGTTGGAGATAATTAGAATTGATTGACAGCTGCACTTATGCATTGTTTTTTTTTTTTTAAATAGATGTTCAAACAGGCATAATTTACATTAAATGAACTATTATTTGCAGTTTCATTTTCTTTTCTTGATATACATATTATATGACTACTTATTTGAATAAATAATAAATTTAGAAAATAATTAATTTATACAGATACATGTACCTATGTCAGTTTTGCACCGTAGTAATTGTAAAATAAATTATCTAGCCATGGATACATGAAAAATTCACTTGTTTAATAATTGAACAAATTAATTAATAATTGGAGTTTTAAATTTAATCTACCTGTGGAAGCGAAATCAGTGCAGGTTTTCACCATTGTAACTTAATGATAATTATTAAAATATTTCTTTGGTTTATAGATTAATAGTTTTTTTTTTTAAGTTTTACAATATTTCTGGAAAAAAAATCTGACTAGTCTTTAATATTAATTTGATTCTGTTGACTTGTTAGATTTGTGCTTTATTGGTCTGTCTGGAATCGATATATACATGTATTACAGTTAGTTTTAATTAATGCCTTTTGTAATGATTCATTCATTAATTCAAACATTTATAAAGGTCCACCAAAGGTCCACCAGATATAGAGAAGGTCCACAAATAATTTTTGACAAGTGGACCTGCGGTCCACCAAGGTAAAAAGTTAAGGTCGAACCCTGTTGATCATATTTACCATTATAGAATGCAAGCATTTTAGCATTACATGTGTATTGCATATCAGTACGTAGAATATTTTTCAAGTTTAAATGTAGTACATGTATTTTGATATTCATGATATTCATTGTAGACATCTAGTAGGGGAGCTTCATTACTGCAAGAAGGCACCAGAGTGGGGTCTTCTAAAACCAAAATGTAAGTATGGGAATAGGAAAAATGTTCAGATAAGAATGTGAAGATGTATATCAACTTGACAGTAGATACCGGTACATAATTTATTTGCATTGAATGTTGACCTTCCATTCTTAGCTTTGTTGCCTTGTATCACTACAAACCCCAGAAAGAGGATGAGGTTGAATTAAGAAAGGGAGATTACTACAGTGTGATAGAGGCCTGTCTAGATGGATGGTTCAAAGGTCGATGTCTCAAGACTGGCAAAGCTGGGGTCTTCCCTGGAAATTATGTACAGCAAGCCAGGTTTGTTACCTGTAGTTTTAGACCTTCAGTTGTTTGCTGAAAGTGTAATTTATGAATATTGTTCAAGAAGTTTAAACTCATTTTTAATACTTTTTAGCTCACCTGAGCCGAAGGCTCAAGTGAGCTTTTCTGATCACATTTAGTCCGTCGTCCGTCTGTCTGTCTGTCCGTCCATCTGTCCATCTGTAAACTTTTCATATTTTCAACTTCTTCTCAAGAACCACTGGGCCAATTTTGACCAAACTTGGTACAAAGCATCCTTGGGTAAAGGGGAATTTAAATTGTTAAAATGAAGGGACATATCCCCTCGTAAGGGGAGATAATCAAGAAAAGCGAAAAATAGGGTTGGGTCATTAAAAAATCTTCTTCTCAAGAACCACTGGGCCAGTAAAGCTGAAACTTATGTGGAAGCATCCTGGGGTAGCGTAGATTCTAAATTGTTCAAATCATGACCCCTGGTGGTAGGGCGGGGCCACAATGGGGAATCAGTGTTTTACATAGAAATATATAGGAAAAATCTTTGAAAATCTTCTTCTTAAGAACCACTGGGCCAGTAAAGCTGAAACTTATGTGGAAGCATCCTGGGGTAGTGTAAATTCTAAATTGTTCAAATCATGACCCCCGGGGGTAGGGCGGGGCCACAATGGGGAATCAATGTTTTACATAGAAATATATAGGAAAAATCTTTGAAAATCTTCTTCTCAAGAACCACTGGGCCAGAAAAGCTGAAACTTATGTGGAAGCATCCTGGGGTAGTGTAGATTCTAAATTGTTCAAATCATGACCCCCGGGGGTAGGACGGGGCCACAATGGGGAATCAGTGTTTTACATAGAAATATATAGGAAAAATCTTTGAAAATCTTCTTCTCAAGAACCACTGGGTCAGAAAAGCTGAAACTTATGTGGAAGCATTCTAGGGTAGTGTAGATTCTAAATTGTTCAAATCATGACCCCCGGGGGTAGGACGGGGCCACAATGGGGAATCAGTGTTTTACATAGAGATATATAGGAAAAATCTTTGAAAATCTTCTTCTCAAGAACCACTGGGTCAGAAAAGCTGAAACTTATGTGGAGGCATTCTAGGGTAGTGTAGATTCTAAATTGTTCAAACCATGACCCCCGGGGCTAGGGCGGGGCCACAATGGGGAATCAAAGTTTTACATTGAAATATATAGGAAAAATCTTTGAAAATCTTCTTCTCAAGAACCACTGAGCCAGAGAAGCTGAAACTTATTTGGAAGCATCCTGGGGTAGTGTAGATTCTAAATTGTTCAAATCATGACCCCTGGGAACTGGGCGGGGCCACAATGGGGAATCAATGTTTTACATAGAAATATATAGAAAAAATCTGAAAATCAAAACTGAAACTTATTTGGAAGCATACTGGGGTAGTGTAGATTTCAAATTGTTTAAATTATGATAAGTGGGAAGGGTGGGGTCACAATATGTATTACAAGGGGGAAATCTGGTAAAGAACAGAATGGACAAAGCTTCTCAGGTGAGCGATGTGGCCCATGGGCCTCTTGCTTGTTTTTTGTCTCGCCTGCGACGAATGTCGCGAAGCGAGACATAGCGACCATAGATTCCGTCGTCGTCGTCGTCGTCGGCGTCCAACTTTTGGTTAACCCAAATGTCAAAGTTTTATAAACTGCAATAACTTTCTCAAATTTTATTCAGTCTTCTTGAAATTTGGACACAATATTCAGTATGGATAAAAATTTATATCCCAAGTATGATTTTGAAAAAAAAAATTCAAATTTTTCCGTATTTTTTCCTTAAGTTGGACTTAGTTTTTTCATGATAATTTATGGTGAAGACCTATATTCCAGCAACTATAAGTTATAGGGATATGATAATTAGTCAGTGGATACATCATGGGTAACCACAAACGTCAGTACCAGAATTAGGTCATCTTGACCTACATTTTTCTGCATGAGTGACTTTGGTTAAATTTTTGGTGGAGGTCCATATCTCAGCATCTATAACTTATAATGGCATGATGATTTGTCATTGTACAGGTTATAAGTAACCAACAACATCAGTACCAGAATTAGGTCATTTTGACCTACATTTTTCTGCATGAATGACTTTGGTTAAATTGATAATGGAGGTTCATATTTCAGCAACTATAACTTATAGTGGCATAATAGTTAGTCAGTGGATACATCATGGGTAACCACAAACGCCTGTACCAGAATTAGGTCATCTTGACCTACATTTTTCCGCATGAGTGACTTTGCATAAATTTATGGTGGAGGTCCATATCTCAGCAACTATAACTTATAGTGGCATGATAATTTGTCAGTGGATACATCATGGGTAACCACAAACGCCTGTACCAGAATTAGGTCATCTTGACCTACATTTTTCCGCATGAGTGACTTTGCATAAATTTATGGTGGAGGTCCATATCTCAGCAACTATAACTTATAGTGGCATGATAATTTGTCAGTCTACACATCATGGGTAACCAACAATATCAGTACCATAATTAGGTAATCTTCACCTACATTTTCTGCATGAATGACTTGATACATATACAGTGGATTTGATTTCAAAATGCAAGTTCAAATTATTGCGACTCATAACACGTTGCAATATTCGCAATAATAAAAACATCACAATAATTTGTGAATTTACAGGGTATATGTATATATATATAAATGCCAATATAATCGCCAAGGGATTAGATATTAAGTCAGCTGTTCCATTTCTTTATTATTGTATTTTTGAGTTATTCCTTCTGAAATGTCAATAAATGCTTCAGTTTATCAGACAATCATTTCTTACTAACCACAGCGACAGCAGGCGAGACACAGGGTTGCGGGCAACCCTTACGTACTTTTTTTTTATACCAACTGAATTCATCCCTTCTGATTGGACTGGAAAATTAAAAAAGTTATGAAGACTTCGATATTGTCTTTGAATGATAAAATTGCCCCCAAAAATCTATCACTAGAAATTACCAGTTTAATAAACATGGGGTTTTATTTTTTAGGTCTCCTTCTGCTGGTGGTTTACCCAATAATGTCCAGAATTTACGTGCCAAAACATCATCATCCAACTCAAAGTCTTCGTCAAGGCAAGAAATGTCATCCAGACCAGAACAGGCAATTTCTGCCAGGCAAGACAACAGTGCTTCACATAAACAGGGGACTCACAACTCCAGACTGGATGGTCCGCCGTCATCATCATCCAGACAAGAACAGTCTGCCATCTCCAAACCTGTACCTACGTCGTCATTAAGTTCATCATCCGGGTCACAGGTGCCCCCTGTCAAGTCTTCTCACAAACCTCACCTCCCTCCCCCCTCCTCGGCCTCACTGTCCACAGAGGCTAACCCTGACAGAATCTTAAACTCACAAATGTCGTCCACATCTCATACTGCAGATCATTTATCATCACAGGCTAGAAGTGTTCCTAAACCTGTCTATGTCAAAGCAGCATCCAAAATGAGTCCTTTAAGAACCACTTCATCTGATGTGCAGGGATTTGCAGCTAACGCAGTGGTTATACCACCTAACTCGGTGATCAGTAAAACAGGACCAGTGGTTGGAGTCAATGGACCAGGATCTTTGGTCCCCAGTGTACAGATAACAGATCCTGTGGGAGCCTCTGGGGAGTCTTCATCATCAAACAAGGTACACGATAATGTACATTGTCATTATTCAAAAAGGCAAATTCTGCTGTAGCAGCAAGGATATTATTTTCAGACTCAATGAATTAGATAATAAGATGATTTGTACCTGTAAATATTTTAGAGAGAGAAAAAAGAGAAAGAAAAGTTAAGCCTTGTAAAGAGACTGACTTCTGGGAAGGGTAGGAAGGCCAGGTCCACCCCAGACAGTGAGGGAGCCTTACCCTCGGGAAAAGTAGCTCATACAAGGTAAAATAGCATACGAAAGACACTAATGCACACATAGGATACATTTGCTCATAAAAGGAAAATAGCACATACAAGATGTAATAGCACATAAATGTACAAGGTATAACTTGCTACATATGTGTATATACAGTAACTCTGAATTCTTCTAATTTAGGTAAGATTATTATTTTATATACATGCATAATTAATTTTTCAATTCATTTAAGAAACCTGCAACTTAAGCATATATTTCCTAGATACCAAACATAAAACTTTTTTCACAATGTTTGGAGATGCTAGATTTATAAATATGTTTTCTGTTGGAATTGTAAATTTTCTAAAGTTCCATAGGTTTTGAAAGTACATGTGTATATTATCTATTTTACTATCATATAAATAAATCTATGACAGACAGAACATCAAACAGAACCTCAATTTGACAGATAATTTTTTGTAGGTCTGGATCGTACCCATCTGAGGTGGCCACGTCTGTAGAAGGCCAACATGTTAAGACTGGATCTTTTGATTCCTCTGTACACCCTCCTCTCGGGTCAAAACATCACAAACAAAAGTCCCTCAGTCGAGAAAAGTAAGTTCCTCAGTCAAAATATTTCAAACAAAAAGCCTCCATGGAGAAAAGTAAGTGTTTCAGTCAAAACATAAGGCCCTCAGTGGAGAAAAGTTAGTGTCTCATTCAAAATACTGTATAACAAACAAAAGTCCCTCAGCTGAGAAAAGTAAGTTCCTCAGTTAAAATACATGTATAAGAAACAAAAGGCCTCAGCTGAGAAAAATAAGTTCCTCAGTCAAAACAAAACAAACAAAAGGCCCTCAGTCGAGAAAAGTAAGAACCTCAGTCAAAACATAAAAACTAAAGGCCCTCAGTGGAGAAAAGTTAGTGTCTCAGTCAAAATATAACAAACAAAAGGCCCTCAGTCAAGATGAGTACTCATGTAGTTGTGTAGGTCAAAAGATAACAAATAAAATACCCTTAGACAAGACAAGAAAAGTCCCTCAGTCAAAACATAGCACACAAAAGGTCATAAGTCTAGAAAAGTGGGTACCTTGCTCAAAACATAGCAATTAAAAGGTCCTCAGCCAAGAAAAGTAAATGTGTAGGTCAAATTACAAAAATCAAAAGGCCCTCAGTCCACAAAAGTGCCTTGGTTAAAACAAAACAAAAGGCCCTCAGCCAAGAAAAGTGTCTCCATCAAATGCCCCCAGTCGAGAAAAATGCCTCTGTCCAAAAATAATGAGCAAAAGGCCATCAGTCATGAAAAATAAGCTTACCAGTCTCAAAATAGAGTTTTTGTCAACTTTTCATATACAGCATGATTTTAATCACAGCTGACCTTGATTATTCTAGCTCGTGTATTTTATCTGTACACAATAGTCTTAATTTTTGTAGTTAGAGACCTTGATCAGTCTAGCTCGTCTGTTTATCTCTACACAATGGCCTTAATTTTCAAAACGGCATACAATACCTTGTAATCTTGTCAGAACATATTGCATGTTACCTTGATATATGATTATTCTGTTGCTTGCAGATACCGATGTAAAGAGCCGTATCCTGCCCAACACGTAGTAGAGCTGGACCTAATGTTGGGAGACATTGTTTACGTGACAAAGAAACGCGAGGATGGCTGGTTCAAAGGAACACTGCAGAGAAGTGGAAAGACAGGGTTATTTCCTGGAAGCTTTGTGGAAAAAGTGGATCAATGATATTTCAACATTACTTCTGTAGGGACGGTTTGACTAGATATGCAATTGCTAAACCTTCCCAAGGCTCAGGAAAATAGAAAGTTTGTAGACAGCGTGACTGTGGATTTTCCTACCTTGAAGGTTCACTCATCATGCAGTGGGGAATAAGACATGTCAGATACAAATGTGATAGTTGATGTATTTTTTATACACAAAATTGCATTAAGTTTATTCACATGAATAAGTAAGTTCATTTAAACTTCAGTTTTTGTCCTAATATTACAATGATTTTAACATCATCCTTTTCATGCACACATGTTGTACAGGAAAACGTTTTCTTATTATTTAGTATATAAACTGCCATTTTGTGCATTTTTGTGTATTAGATATTATTGATGCAATATTTTAAATATTGAGTTAAATATTTTCATTTCCTGCCTTTGACATCTTAGTTCATGTGTTAGTTGAACAATAACTGAAAAATGTAGGATGCTAACCTCACTTTCACTTTCTTTTGTTATATGCAAGTATCTCTCATTCACTCTTGATAACTAAGGGCATTTTATTTCTTTGAATAAACATTGATTTTTATTTCCTATATATGAATAGGCTGTATGTTGTTATTTGAATCTGTAGTTTCCCTTTACATACATGTAATTGATACTATAAAATGTCTTCCAGTCATTTTCGTTATTCAATTTGAATACTGTGTCTTGCTGGTTATTACAGTTTATAGATTAGTTAACCTGTGTATCTTACACATTATATTGTTGAAAAGAAATCATTAAAAGATTTAACAGTGCCATCTTAAAATTTGTATATTAACTAATTTCTATTTGACTTACATGTGCATCTAGTTACAAAAGTGATTATTGAAAGATTTTTAAAATGTTCATTGTATAGATAATTATTAGTATATTGTGTATGGATGTACTGTTTGATATATTCTCCTTAAGTCTGTTACTCGAAGCATGCATCTTCTGTACCTTAAATGTAAAGTTTTTTTTTTTAATTTGATTTCCTGTCAAACAGAGCATTGGATATACTCAAATCAGTGATATTTTTGAAGATGTTGTGATTTTTACATTATTTAATTATACAACCAATTCTTAGGTTAGTGCTGTGGAGTAGTTTTTGAATTGATTTTATCAGAGTTTCTTGTCTAGAGAAGGTTGTCATTTTAATTCTGTGTGTAGAGTCTCTATGCAGTATGGATTTTACCTTTCTCGGTTTAGCATGGAGAAGTTTTTTTGTCTATGCATTGTTTTGTACAAGGCTTCATATGTTAACATTCCAAAAGTGATTTGGCATGTCACATTCTGGTTATACCCCTAGGAAATACAAAGTAAAAATGAGATTTCTCTTTTTTTGTTAATTTCTTCTCAGCTGAGAGCAGGATTATTGGACATCATTGTTCTCTTTCTGAATTAACAATTTATAATTGTATGCTGTTACATGTAATTACTCAAAGTCAAAACATTCAAGTAGTTTATTGTGCTCACTGATGAAATCACACGTGAAAGTTGTTTTTTTTTTTATTGTTTATTTAAAAAAAATAACAGGAATAAAAATTTCTTTCAATATTAAGTTATACAACACCATAACAACTTTGTTCCTATAAACACAGACTTTTCTTTGTAGATCTATTTTTGTGAGATTTCACGGTATTCTTGCATCCCCTGTATTAACTATTAAAAAGAAAATAAACAATTAAATAATTGAAATACAGATATAAATACGTGTCTATCTTTGACAGAGTAAAAAGAAACCACAAGGAAATTTAACATAAAGTACTGGGGATACATACCACCCATGCAAGTAGAAGTTAATGCATCAAAGCAAAACTCATTCTCAAAGCACGTTAGCTGAAACAGAAAATAAAAATGAGAAAGAAATCACTCATAATGAGAGAGAAAGAGAGAGAGAGAGAGAGAAATAGAGATACCTGTCCACAGTTATCCCCTCTTCCTGCTGTATTTTGTGGAACCTCTGGTCTTTGATTAAGTCCAACGTTTGACCCTTAACATGTATAAAAACAATCATTAGATACAAAACTTAATCAGTCTACAACAACTGTACAGCTATATAAACAGGGTACTCACCAGGTCCAAGTGGCGCCCCGACACAGTTATTACCCTGACAAACCTCTGCAATGTCAGGAATACGGATTATATCCGGCCCGGGCCCCCCAGGTCCTGGTGGAATGGGTTGTTGAGGAACCACCGGCTGTGCGGGTCTATTCTGTGTAGGAGGGACCCCACCCCCGGGCAGTAAACCACTAAGTGGTGGAAGACTCATCCCTGTGCCAGATTCTGATGTACCACTCAAAGCGGAAGTTCCAAACAAACCACGTGATGGAGTTTGCGGTACCGCTGCTGGTATATTATCAGTCATTGGAAACAGCTCTGTGTTCGGACTAGGGTTAAGATCAATAGGCCCAGAGGAACCTGGGATTGGTGAGAGGTCAGAGGAGGAACCAGGCTTTATTATGATCGGTGGGGGTCTCGCCCACGGCACCCTGGAACCAGAAGAATCTCTGACGGTCCATCTGGAGTTAGGGTTAATATTTGTATTTGTTCGACTGTTTGGAATCAAAGATGAAAAAGGTCCAGTCTGTGAATTTCTATTGATGGGCGATATTGGTCTGTTATTTGGAACAACCGGTATCATTGACGAAGCCTCTGAATTTGGACCAAGAGGAGATAATGGACCCGTCTGCGAGAAAGGCATATTTGGTAGCGACTGTACAGGATTAACTGGGCGAACATCGTTCGGATTTACGGCACCTGTGTAACAAAAGAGACATCACTGTTATATGAAATATATGGAGATAACGAACAGTATTCAAAATCAAAGTCCCTTAAACAATACAAAATTGGAGCAGAGCAAACACGGACCTACAAAACATCAGAAGTGGGATCAGGTGCCAAGGAGGAGCGAGCATCCATGCTGATCGGTCACACACGCCGTGTGCTCCTTGTCATGATCGGGAAATAACGGAAAAACCGTCGAATATTCAGTGTGTATATTATGGTCTAACTATCAGTATGAAAAACGCCAGTCGGCATTTGACTAAATGATGAATTGTATACTGACAAGGTCATTGTATCGACCATAGATCTTACGAAATGATGACTATATATGATTTATTATTAATATAATCATCATGAACGAGGGGATATGGTTGTGAAGTACGTGCCGTAGACGGCAATAGAAAGGTAGCCTGTTAGTGAAATGTCCTTCGAGATTTTTGAACTCGAATTGAGACGCCACCACTTGCCGCTTGGCTGCAAATTTAGACCTGTGCCACAGGCTTTTAGTAAGGGAACTTTACCATTGTCCCCTACTGTGACGTGGGACTTCGTTTTGTAAAGATTCATTCGAAGGACCGGTTTCCACGTCCTTCAGTGGGATTCTAACTCGCAGAGTCAGAATCAGCTCGATCGATCCTTATTCCGCGACTCAATCTAGAGCAAATGTTCTAGCCACTGCATGCGCTACCCGGGCGACATAGTTACGCGTTGCGATTGTTTTCCCTCTGCAAAATTGACGACGATATGTGCAGTACAATTTTGTATGCCTATGCATATTGGTTGTCATTGAAATTTATCTAACGAACCATCCTGTGTAAATACTTAAGTTTATTTGGCACTTAAACTTTTTGTAACCTTCAGGCACAAGCATTTAAAATTACCCTTTAGACTAAAATTATGAATATATTGTTGTTAATGATTTCTGGAGTTTTATTTCGAAAAAGCCTTTGAATTAAAAAAAAAAATGATAAAAGTTAGAATTTATGCATTCCAGTTGATTTGATAAGATACCGACAGTCCCCTTGAAAGTCAACATTTTGCAAATTCTATGATAAAAACAACGACCATTCTTTACACTGAATCGTGTAAGGAGTTTTCTTATTGGTCTTTATGACAATGAGCAGACGATTATTGGACTAGAAGACATGGGGTTCTTACTCCTCCATGGCACTTGATCCTAACTCTGGTGTTTCTGTTGGTCCTTTTTTGTTCTCTTCTCAGTTCCAGAATGACATTATAACAAATCGAAAGATTTGTTGTAAGATATCTTACCAACAGTTAGGGCTATTCCAGTACAATGACCATCTATACATCTGGAGTTTGGCGGACACGGTCTCTGTTACAGAAATAAAATGGACATATCAAACACAAAGACCAATGACGAAACATGTAAGTTGATTTTTTATTTTGTACATGTGTGTCGATTTTCTTGCTGAAAACCTCTAAGTATTTGTTGTATTTGAAATTATGAGATATTCAAATATCCAAACTTATTGCATAGATTTTTTTAAACAAATAAAATTTTATTCTAGCTAACTTTAATCTCCAAAAGACCAAAAATAAAAATTGTTCAGAAATATTCCAACTCTATTATTGTATGGACTTGAATGAAGGAAATATATAACAACAGCAAGTTTTTTCCCTTTTTGTGCGATAGGAAAACTAGATCAATTCACTTACATCACAGGTTGGATGTGGCCTAGCTACAAGATGAAAAATAGAAATACAGAGTCAAGGGAAAACCAGGTCTAGAACAGATTACTTCTTCTCAGCAATAGCAAATATATGATTTTTTAAAAATCATTTATTTAATTCATACAAAGAGGGGCTCAAGGAACTAAGACTATGACCATGAGGGTATTAGAAGACCTACCGTTGAGAACATCGCAGTGACAATCCCCAGGACTGTCACAGTGGCACACGTAGCCGGGGGGACACGAGGGCTGTCAAAGAAACAAAATTAAAACTTCAGTAATGGCATCTGACCAATTGCCAAGTTAACAAAAAGTCACCTTAAATCAGTCATATTTTTGTCTATTTCAAATAAGGAAATTCATTTGCAATCTTCAGTTAGTGCAACTTTAAAGTTAAAATTATACTTTTAAAAAGTATTATGATACATACACTACACTGAGAATTCCCGACTGAAAGGAAAGAAATGACACCAAATCAGTCTTACTGACAATGCTGCAATTCTTACTTATATTCTTGTCATATATAACTTGTAATTCAATACGAAATATTAATATATAAATATAGCCATTTGATGAGGACGATCCATAGATATATCGACTTCACAGAAAAACATATCGACCGAGCACGAAGTACGAGGTCGATATGCTATTCTGAGAAGTCGATATATCTATGGATTGACCGAATTAAAGGGCTACATTTGTTATATTATTTTTTACAGAGGTTGATAAAAAACAATTTGAAAAAATGGGAACAAACCACAAGTTTTCTCTCTTAAACACTTAGAGACTAGAAATCAAAATAAATTAAGTTGTTTAATATAACTGAGTGAAACTTTCCTTGACATTTTTAGATTTTTACATAATTTAGAGGATTTACTAATTAAAAATACTACAAATGTACATCTTTTTGAATATGTTTTGTATCAAATTTGACAAAGATATTCAATATGTTCTAATATTAATTAGATCCTAATTCAGGCCATTGTTACGTCTTATGAGTTACAGAACATTACAAATTTAAATACAAATTGAAGTATATATTTATTTTTTTCAGAAACATCAAGTCATATACTGTATTAGCTATAATTGTGAAACCTTTCCTATAAATTTTTTGTTTTACAGAAAATTACCTCTATTTTGAGAAACATCAAGTCGATATACATTTCAAATTCTATAAATAGTAACTCAAGTCTATATGCTGTTATCTACTAAATCATGTGACCAAGTTTAGGCCAATCAGAGAGCTTGGAATATATGATTAATATAATATTATCAAATGTAAGCAGTTTAAGTTAAAGGAATTCCGGTATAAAAAGAGAAAAGGAGGAGAGATATCTAAGAACCATGACAAATCTTGAGGAAATTGTTGGAACCGTTGATAAAAAACAATTATTTTATAGAATATTAATATAACAAAAAAAATTGTTGGCAAACTATTCAGACCCACCCTCCCCCCAATATCACAAGAGACACTATTTAAACAATGTTACGGAATTTACAATATCATAAAGACTTTCAAGCAAGAAAATGCATCTTGCAGAGCTAGCATATTTGTCTTTTTTAGGGAAGGAAGAAAATAGTAACATTTGGCAAAGATTCGGGATGTGCTAGGTTAAGACCTTTGGATAATGGAATGACCTGACAGCCCTTTGGAATGGAATATTCCTTAGGTATAAATATATAGGCACAGGAATTTGCGTACCTATCAATTTTACCGAAATTTTCAGTTAGTAAATTAAAAAAATACGTAATACCTATATAATAAGTATTACGAATATTTTTAATTTACGAAAAAATTCGGTAAAATTGATAGGTACGCGAACTCCTGTGATATAAGGAAACATTTGGAAACCGCGAAGTTAGACAGCTATGATAGAAGTTAACAGGTAAGACACCTATTTAGCACTAGTGTAATTTTATAAAACAAACCAGTATAATTAAATACAAACCTCTTTGGCATATTCCTTTGTTGCAAACTTCTCCGTTCCTGCATCTAGGCTTAACAGAAAATGGCTTCGATAATACTAGTAGCTGAGTAAGTTCAAAACACTTAAGTCATTCAAGGTTCGAAAGCACAAGGTTTACTGTTTACTTAGTATTTTATGGCATAATGATTTGACCTTGGTCTTGCTTAATGTATTGTTTTATTTCCGCCGAGTCGGCAATTTTTCAGCCATATTTCGGCGGTCTTGGAAATGGTGATAACGAACAGTATTTAAGCTCCGATTTCCATTCAAACAGTACAAATATGAGCAGAGATAACAATGATATAGCTCTTAAGATGGGATCAGATGACTTGAAAGAGTAAGCAGCCCCTTCGACTGGTCACAGCCGCCATGTGCTCCTTGACATGATCGGGAAAACTGGAGAAAATTGTAAACAATCCAGTGTGTAAATAATGGCATAACAATTAGTATGAAATATGTCAGTCAAAATTTGACTTAATGATAAATTGTAGTTGCTGACAAGGTCATGCATCGCCCATAGAAACGATGACTTTAAAAGAGACTGCTGATATTCTTGTTTCGTTAGATAGCCAGCTTGAGAATGGCCTACCCCGTTTTAGAAAGTTTGTACGTTGTTCATGGTCTTGTGTATCGAAACAAGAATAGGAAGATACATAGACCCATAAGCCTCAGGTAAATAGCTACATAGGTAAGGGAAGTTAACGAATGAAAAGTTGAAGTCATCAAGTTTATTATATGGCGTTGCTGTTAGGTTATTTCAATCTTTAATTTCAAGCTCATTGGGTAGATCGAGTCGACATATGAGTTTTTTTCTTCTTATTTATAAGATTTTGAATAAATTCCACTTCAAATGAATACAAAAATACTAGTAGGTCCAATGATAATGATACTGTAGGAATTCAGAAAGATTGTTGGATTATGATATTGAGTCAAGATTTTGCAAACCTAGGTAGTAAAATACTCGTTTTACTTTCCTACAATAAAGTGTTGTCAATCTTTTATATTACTCAGAAGCTGACAGACAGACAGCTACACATACGGCTATAGACAGAACAGCACTTATTGAGGCTTCATGAATTAAAAATTGCTTATTAAAATGTCCCAATTCCATCAGAGTTTTATGAAGTAAAATTGATTTCGATAAACACAATTTGAAATAGATTAAATAAGAATGGAAAACCTTCACATATTATAACAAAATAAAGTAATTAAAAAATTATTTTCGTGCACTAGTATTTTTCCTAATGTGATTTCTGTCTGATCACTACTAATGCATTCTCTTTGAAAAAAATAAGTTCAACACACTATGTAAACCTTTACAATGAACCTACGGCGTATGTGACCAGTCGAAAGCTTACTACACCATGGCACCTGATCCCACCTTTGGTGTTTTCAGAGGCTCGTGCACATTATAATTGCAGTGTGGTCCATCAACAGATTTTGAATAATTAAAAAAAAAGATTTTACTGATGTCTGTTTCACTTTTACCATTAACGCAGATAATTTTTTTTAAAAAACATTTGAATCAATGCTTACCTCACATGGC